TTTTATGCAATGATCTGGTTCTTTGAAATTTCGACTAATTCTCATATTTTAATAGTAATTGGAAATTCTGTAATATACAGGGTGATCTGTTTTAAAGCGACAGTGTTTGGAACGCCCTGTAGTGCGATCTAATAGCCAAAATGGCACCAAACTTGGTATTTAGACTAATCAAAACATGGGAAAAAGGGTTCCGTGGAAAAAAATTTAGTTCTAAAAATTGCTGCTAGGGAATTTTGTGGCTTTGCTGTAGCTTACAACAACGAGAATCACGTTACCGAAACATGCGTTACTGGTGAAGCTGAATTACATGAATCAATGTAACGCATCCGCAGTTCTTCGGGAATTTCAAACCAGAAAAAAAATTTATTGAAACTTAAGTTTTAACTACTAAAATATATGCCCATAGAGTAAAATACTTTTTATACAGATAAACTGCAATTAGCAACTTTTGATTTTCCACATTAACAATACCCAGTATTAAAAAAAAATTTTTTTTTCAAAATATTTAACTCTTGAAAAACTAAATTCTTCAGTTTGAGTAAATTACCACAACTGCCAATATGTTTTTCTTACAATGCTATTTTAGTACCTGGATAATTAAGCATATTCTGAAGCAAAATAAAGTCAAAACATTATGACAGACTTTTTAAACAAATTTAATATTTCTTGCATTTATTGCAATAACTACACTCAACGACTTTTATTCGACTATCTTAAAATTTCTGTTCAAGAGGAATCATATACAGAGGGTGTTCACACATTTTTGTAATGATTTTGAAAAGATTCATATATAAACAAACCTTAGAATTTTATTTTCTAATACATTCAGTCTGATTTCTTTGTTGAATTTCTTTCGTATTCTATCGTATTACATCTTGATTTCCAAGATAAAAGCCCTTTTTTTGAAACATCAAGGTTGATTTTATTCCACTCCTCCTTCACAATCTTCCAGAGTCCATCCAATGTTTTGGGATGCCGCTTATAAAGAGCTTGTTTTAAAACTCCAAATCCATAAGAGACACATAAGCCCCGTTCACAAGAGCAGATTCGACCGGTAGCGAAAACCGGTTCTTCCAAAGTGTTCCGTTCACATGGGACAAGCGGGCCCACCAGCGGCCGAGCGGTAAAGTCGCTGAACACTGGTAGTTCGGTCCGAGGTTCGAATCTCGCGAACGGGCTGGCTGCATGGCCGTTTTCGTGGTTTTCCCCATGTGTAACGTGTATATGAGCCAGTTTCCCTTAGAAAGTCCTCCACGAAGGCATCCCTCCTCTTAGGCAGATAGCCCTCGAGGCTTTGCCATAATCACACACACACACATGGGACAAGCATTAACTGCCTCGCCGAATTGGAGATAGAACTTGGTTGAATGTTCCTTACCTCTCGGGAGCAGGGCAAATGAGGTGATTTCCCGTACTATACTGCGAGGTTCACTTAATTTTAGTTACTGCTCGCTGGACTGTCAGCGAAACAATTGCATCTGGGGATGTGATAGCATCCCCCCAAAAATTAGATAGAACTGTACAAGATACGGAAATTATAGATAAATACAGACAAGGTTATCTGATGCTAGGTATTCCATAAATATCGTTCAAATTAAAACTAAAGTTAAGACAAGTGCATATCGGCTTCAAGGTGAAAAGGGTCTCGGTACCTTTTGAATGATTAAAAAAAAGAAAAAAAATTAAGCATTTTCATCTAATTTTTATGAATATTATTAAATGGTTTTGTGAGACAAAATAATTTTAAGCTGAAAAAAAGTTTTTGCTAGCATTTTTTTTAATTAAAATTTTTGAATAAAAATTTTACAATTAAAATGCCTTTCCTCTCCTACAATTTTCAATGTCTTCCCCCAGTTTTTTTATTGTATTTATTAGAGTGTTCTTAATAACTTAAAGGAATGATTTTGCAACTAATGAATTAGTTTCTGAGGAAAAAAAAATACACTTTTATCTAAAATCTTTAAAACAAATATGATCTCAGTTACATTTTCATTTCAAATAATTTTTTCCTTTCAGTATTTTACAAAATTCATTCTTGTTTCTATAAAGTATATAATTTTATATAAGCAGTAAAAATAATAAAAAATTTAGTCCATACCTGTATATGTTTTAGGACTTTAAGTAAAAGGATTTATTGAAAAAAGTGCAAAAGGTTTCTCAATTTGCACTTGCAGTTTAAAGAATACAAACTGTCTAAATAGACATTTAATCATTTCAAATCTTTAAAATTTTATTACTGAATTTCAGTATACACATATGTAGATAAATCAAACCTAGTGCTACTTATTTAATTGGTAAATATAAACATAAATTACAAACCATTTTTTAAAACCTTATGTGGCCAGAAAAATTGCAAAAACTCAGAAAACGCAAGCAGAATTTTTCTTTACCTGTTTTTGTTTTGTAAAACACATTCAAAACAATTTTAATACATTAATTAATTATAATATTGCTGCGTGCGTACGGGTTTGTAATAGATTGATAATAGTTCGTAAATGATTGTCATTGCACTCAAATCCAATGATAGCTTAATTAAATTTATTTTATCAACATAAACACTTCAAAGTTCTGGAATTTTCCACAGAAATACTCGTACAAGTGTTTAGCATATCACTAAGTATAATCAGTAGTTATGCTTCAATCTAATAAGAACGTTAAACACAACAGAATGCAAAACGCATCTTAAGAGAAAGTTAACCCACAAATATCTCCAATCTCACGCTGAACTAACAACTGGTAACAATAACAACTTATATAGCATAAATAATGTCATAAAAATAGTGTGGTATAATGACATTATTACTTTGAAACCGATGTTTCGAATTGATGCCCAAGAAAAACCAATATTTCCCATTCTGCTTCATTGCATATCTTTCAAAAAAGTAAAAAAAATCATCCATTTAATTTCCTTTATCATTTTTTTTTAAATGCGAAAAGTTTGTTTTATAAGCTGTGAAAATGTCGGAAGTTTGTAACCGATATATTTTTAGATATGAAATTTTAAAATTAATAGGCGTCAAAAAGTCTAAAAATATGAACGATTTTCAAATATTCTCACAAAATATTTTTCAAAAAAATTATGCTAAAAATTTCATTTAATTTGTTTTCTTTCACAGTGTGTTATCGTGTAAACTTTTTTAATTTTGAGATTCTCGGTTTAGTTGTTAATATTTGCAAAAAGCCGTTTCAACTTTAAATTTGAAAAAAATCTAATCCTCTAAAAATCAAAAGCGTGACACCACATCCACACGCAGTGTATGTACAAAGTTTGAGTTCTATATCTTATCGGGAAGCTGTTTAAAAATCCATTACCATCTTTTAACCATAGCGACAAGCACCAAGAATGAACTAAATAACAGCTTATAAAATAATAATAATAATTAAAAAGCATATATTTTTCAGGAACCATTACGAAAATTCAGGTACCAGTTGCGAAAGTACAGATAACAAAATTAACAACAGTAAACCGTGTTAAAAATGTGTAAACAGTATTAGAAATCTGCCAATTCGGAGACGTGATTGTTCACAGAGGCTTTAAGTGTAAAGGGGAAGGAAGACGGTGGTCTTCTAAATGGGTCCTAAAGACGAAACTCTTTCATGTCTCCTTTTTCTCCCCTTGCTAACAGCAGCTGTGTGAAGGAGCGCTGCATGTGAACTGGCCTATAAGGGAACTTATGTGGGATGCATTTAAGGAGAATACCTTCAATTCCGGTTTCATTTCTCATTTTTTTTCAAAAATAGAGCAGTAGATTTAGAGTTATGACTAGGAGCTTTATCCTTAAATGTAACTTAACACAATGAAGACTGTTTGGATACAGAGATGGAATTTCTTCTTTAAAAATAGGTGTTAAAACATATTTCTGATAGTAATCCAAATTAATTTTGAGACATTTTTCCACTTTCCTTACTTTATAAGAAAATCCAGTAATAACCACAAAACCTTCAGAAAAGCTTTCCGTGTTTTCTCTGAACCAACATATTAAGACTTTTTCTCTTCTTTCTCGGTAGTAAATCGATCTTTTTCTACTGCAGTCAGATAAGTATATCCAAGCCTCATCAATTGTAACTATATTAATTTCTATTTTTCACCTGCCAATAATTTTCATACACCAATCTGCACACAATCTTAAGCTGAGAAACATGTTTCGGCATCAGGTGATGACCACCATGTTTTTTTTTTTTTTTTGTTTTGATAGCTTTAAATCAGATTTTATAATTTTGTTAAAAGTTCCTACAGAGATATTTAAAGAATTTTTAATAGCTCTCTGGGGGCTGGATTTTCCTTTAAAACATGAGATGAGACTTTAGATTTAATAACAGTTGTAGGTACCTTTGTTTGAGTATGCATTTTTTTGCCTTATTCCCAGTCAGATGTAACTTCAATGTTTCCTTCCTTTCATACTAATTATGTGACTTATTTTACGCATAGAAATATCAAAACCATGCTTTTCACATCTTTTTTTTTAAATAACTGAATAAAAGTATTTCTCTTCAGACAGCGCAAAAATATAGCCTTCGATCGATTGTTTATTTTTCAGTGATATTTTAAAGAAAATAAAGTTTTTAATGCTGTAGATGATAATTAAACCTTATTCCAATTTGATGCCAGTCACATTTGTATTTTATAATTAATATTTAACTTCATGGAGAAAATCAAAATCGTTACAAAAAGGTGTGAACACATTGTGTACTTTATATACAAGCGTTTATCCTTTTGTAATTAAATAAAATAATTCTTGCACCTTTTGCTAATACTGAATTTTCTAAATTATATTTTGAATTTTACATGAGACAAAAATTGAAATATTCTTGAACACTTTCCTATACTCAAAGTTCTAACAAATGTAAGAATAATTAATAGATTACTTCTAATAACTTTAGTCATTGACAACAATTTAAAATTTATCTAGGAAGTATTTAATGTAAAAGATTTATAAAGCATCACTTTTTTTCCGAAAAATAAAAAATGTCTGTAGAAAGTATAAAATAATAAAAACAAAGAACAAGAAAATAAAATATATTGCATTAATAAATTACAGTAAAATTATAACAAAATTGTAAAATTTCCAGTATAAATTACAAAGAGTATTTTAAATATAACAAACTACTCTACAGTAAATTACAAACATCAACATTTCACATTGTAATATAAATTACATTCAATAAATTAATCATGGAAATAAAAGCATAAAATGCCTTCATACAAAAATCAGAAATGAGTTTAGAATACTGTTCAAATGAGTTGAGAAATGAACAAAAAAATTATATCGATGAACAACATTTTTTCTTTTTCCCAGAATCAGTAAGACGAATTTCATGCTTTGGTTGTTCTGCTGGCAATTTTCTTGGCAGTCTAAGAGCTAGAGAGAACACACTCAAAACATTTACTTCTCATATCAGACCATGAGAAAGAACATGAAAAATTTAATTAAAAAATTACAGGCAATTGCAAATGCTATTTATTAAGAATAAATTTCATAGCAATGAAAAAAAAAATCAAATCTTTCGAAACTAACAAAAGATAATTTTAATGCTTGGCTATTTGGAAAAATCGTATGCAATGAAGTACCAAATTCTAATAAAAGAAGCTTATACTCTGAAAATTCAAAAAGTTTTATTAAAAACTGAACAAATAAAAGGTTATTTATTTTCTCTATAATTTTTTTTTAAGTTTGTAAATTACAATTTCTTAGAACCTCTTTTTTAAACATAGCTCGTTACAGAAACTGACAAAAAGTGTTATATTAATCAGACATTATAATACCTCATTTATCAAATTATTATTCTCATTTTCAACTATATTTAGTATGGATCCATATTTTTTTTTAATACCAGTAACCACATATATACTAGCATCCTAAGAACATTGTTCTGCATGTTGCATGACTCAAGTTTGCCCATTTAATAACTTTATGAAACACAATTGTGTTTAACACCATATTTAAAGAACATGCCTAAGCTGATTATACAAGTTTATTCAATAAAATTCTACTTTTAATTAGAAAAAAGAGGAGACCTCTAGAGAATAAAAAAAGGGTAAATTTAGGATATATATGATGAATTAATTAATATTTAGGCTGTAATTATTTTCTTACAAATAAAGTACAATGCAAAATTACTTCTTTTCATTGTTTTCAGTACATTTTCAAATATAAGAAATAGGAATTCATGATTGACAATTTGGCCAGTGAGCTATTTCAAACTGGCCACAGTCTGTGCTTCTACATACATTTAATGAAATCATTGTATAATTCTGCACAAATCTTGTCTGTAAAAAACTAGTATAGAGAAAATTAATCGTTCAAAAGCCATGAAAAAATGCTAAAAAGAAAACAAAGTCCATCGGAATTCGCCACATCAAAGCAGAGGACAATAAATCTAATTCTCCCCCCCAGGAGAAACAGTAACTTAACACACCAAAGAAAACAAATGCTGTTATCTGTTTATATGCAAAAACAGTATAATGGATAATTCTGCAGAAAGCTTTAAAACTGTGCCTTTTTACAATTTCTTGAAAAAAGTAAATGCTGATGAAATAGCAACAAGCTAATTTGGGTAGACATCCGATGAATTAAATATGATAATCTTTTTTTTCTTTTCTTTTCATCTTTAAATATAGTTGCAGTAAATGAAATGATAACTTCCTTAGCTACAAAACTACCATTTATTCAATTTAGAAACAGGCAATTTTCTAAAGATATAACATAACCTTTTAAATGAGTATAAAAATCAGATGTAACAACTCATTCAATTTAAAAGCAGATTGTCCACTGATGTTTAGTTTTTTAAACAGACTATTAAAATATTTAATAAAAAAAACTTATGAAAAGATGTGCAAAATGTTAAAATAACGAAAATAGGAAAGACGTGATATGTTTAAAAATATACAGTCGAATCTGATTAATTGGACCAGCCGCCTTTTTCAGACCAAATCCTAAAGAACCGAAACAAATCCTATGTACATAAGACTAATATTATTCGCTTATTTGGACCAAAATTACGTTTAATCAGACCAAAAAACGTGAGAGCAAATAAGAAACAGAAGCCACAAGTCGGCCGCAAACAGCAGATGTACAGGTGGTCTGCAACATATGGGAGGATCTCTAGTTGCAGCTCCCCAGGAAAATGCTTTATCAAAGGTCAGGAATTCCTTAAAATGCATGACAAAAGCAAAACCGGTGGGAGGTGAACATGCGCACCATTTTCTTTGACCAGCGCCTCCGAGTTTCGAGGAAATGAACAATAGAGTGTCCGGCTGCACCTGAAAGGAATTCCCACCTGTTAATCATGATTAAAGTTTACACAAGAAAGCTATCATTTCATCACCTTTTTGGGATGATTTTAGCGCCAAAGCTTTGAATGGTGAGCATTTTATCTCTCTCTTGACCTCAACATCTTGACCCAAAACACCAAGGTTTCTTCAGACTATTTTAGTCAGTGAACTGTGTGCATGTCTTGTCTTTCCTGCCAAAATTCCATGATGGGATTTGACGTGAGCCGAAAATTTGGTTTTCTGGATAAGATCAAGGAACAACGACAAACACACGAGTCAGCGCCGGTTGGTGGAAATAACCGGATTGACAAAGACTACAATTTCGCGCTTGATAAAACAAGAGAATAAGCTGCGAGAAAATGGGCACAAACTTCCAAAAAACGAAAGCGTGAAAGCAAAGACCCATAGTCGATTAGGCCAATGAATGGTTTCGTTGTTACTGGACGATCTGTGCAAGTAAGAGGCCCAATGTTAAAATGCAAGGCAGAAGAACTTGCTAAAAGGCTGGCCAACAATGACTTTAAAGCTACAGATGGTTGGTTGTCTCGATGAAAATCTAGACATGACATAAAATTGAAGAAAGCACATGGCCGAGAAAGAAAATGCTGATAGTGCAAATGCTGAAGAATGGAAGTCAACAAAACTGCCCAAGCTTCTTGAAAATTTTTCAGCAGATGACCTCTACAATGCTGATGAGACTGGGCTGTATTATCGTGCTACACCGGATGGCTCATTAAGTTACAAACATGTTGTTATTTCTGGCTCCAAAAATGCGATGGATCGCGTAACTGTTTTGTGCTCCTCAAACATGTCAAGAATGGACAAGAGGAAGCTGTTGGTTATAGGAAAAAGCACTAAGCCTCACTGCTTTAAAGGACTTAGGATGGAGAGTTTACCAGTTGTGTATCGTGCGAACAGAAATGCCTGGATGACCTCTGAACTTTTTAAAGAATGACTGAAGGATTGGGGCAGAGAGCTACAATGCCAGTTGAGAAAAGTGCTGCTTCTTCTTGACAATTATGCAGCACATCCTCATTTAAATTGCTTGATGAACGTCCAACTGGAATTTCTACTTCCCAGGACCACAGCTTTGGTCCAGCCAATGGACATGGGCATCATAAAAAATTCGAAGACCCTTTATCCTGCAAGGTTGGTTAATTACATCCTTGAAGCAATTGAAGAAAGTTTGCTGACCTCATCGTCAAAAGCCAGCAAAGGTCAACATCTTACATCAGTTACATTTGTGACCGACAGCTGCCAAAAAGTGAGCAGTGAGACAATTCAGAACTGTTTTTCTCACTGTGGCTTTAAGCACTTGGTTTTGGAGATAGATGTGGACATGCTCATTGAAAGTGAAAATGATGATTTACATGTGGAACTTCAACAGGTACAAAATTGCGAAGAATTTTTATCCATTGACAACGAGCTTCAGTGCTATCATGAAAATGAAGATTACAATGCTGCAATCGTTGCTCGAGTTGCAGCAAAACACACGACAGCATCGGAAGACCAAGAAAGTGTTGATGATGATGATGATGCCACTAATAAGTTGGTGCGAGTGACAGCACAGGATGCGAGGAAATGCACTGAAACTTTGTGTCAGTATTTCATGCAGGAGGGAAATGAAGGCAGTCCCATTGCTGCGTTAGATGTTTGTAGCGATTTCATTCCCATGCAATCCATCAAGAGAACGTGTCAGATCACATTGAATAAGTTCTTCAAATGTTGACTGGAACTTCATAAGAAATCGTTTTTATTGTGTTTCACATGTTGAGTATCATAGAGATTGTTTCATAGAATTTGTTTCTAAATTAATTTTCTCAATGAAAAAAACTTCAACTGTATATTTTGTTCGTACATGTATGTTCGCCATACGTGTGTACCGCACCATAAAGTTCAAAATTACATTTTATTACATTATTTACATGTACATTTACTGTTTGCTACATACAGCATGTCAAATCTCACAACATAGGACATGTTCGTGTAATCAGACCAGCCGGTTATTAGGACCAAAACGATCACTTCCCGATGTGGTCCGATTAACCGGAATCGACTGTATTTCCTGCATCTGACTTCTGTATATACACAATAAGCGAAGTAAATATTCATTACAATAAATTAATGTAAGCTATTTAAAAATACATAAATTTGTAATTTTAATTTATGGATAATTTATAAATATTTAACGTTTTTGGATATGAGATACTTTCACGGGTTAGTAAAATTTTAGTTTATAAAAGTGGACATAATCTTTAACCTTTACATTTAATCAGACATAATCTTTAACCTTTTCAGGATGGGATGGCCATTACATTGGACTTAGTATTCTTTGTTTGAAAGGATGAATAAAGGATGGAATGAAGTGTCGAGTTTGAAGTCCTTACAGTCTTAACCACTTATCGCTTTCCAGGGTCTTTGTGTTAGGATCTGGTTTTCCCTATCATTCTCTTTTCATTCTTGCAGCTTCAGAGTTTGATGATAGCCTCGTTTGTAGATCATAGACGGAGCCTTGCACTTCTCTGAAATATTCCCTATCCAAAGGAGATTTCTTGAAGTTATTTTGCTTAATTTTGTAGCGATATGTCAAAACAGAAAAGAGGGTTAACCGAATATGAAATACGTAAGCTTCCTACAAGAGTTTGTGAAATGTTAAATTATTTAACATCATAAAATACAGAATCATAATATTAGGAACTGAAGATAGCAACTAACTATTTTGTAACTTTTTCCCATTCATTCAAAAACTATATATACCACTCAGTTTTCCGCTTCTTATTTAAAAGCTTTTTTGCTACAAAAAATTTACGACACGAAATATATGAACAATAAATTAATGTAAGCTATTTAAAAATACATAAATAGTATAGTGCAAGTCATACTTGAACTAAACACTGCTTATTTATATTCTTGTCAGTTTTCATTTTTAAGCATTATGTTTTTATGCAAATTTTTAACATTTATTTAGACTTAAAATTTTAACTTTTCAGTGATTTAAATTTTAGCATTTCCATATAGTTTATATTTTTAATCATTTATGTAACATCAATTTCTTTTTTATTTTTTAGACATTTCTTAAACTGAAAAAAATAAAAGATACAGCAAAACCACTTTAACATTATCAGAAAATATGACTAAAATTTTTTTCTGTTTACTGCAACATTTGCATGATTTTTTTTGTTTACGATGTCATGAATGTTTCTAAATTTAAGAAAATTAGTTCATGAAATCTATAAAAAATTTCAGATGCATTAAAAAATGAGATAGAGACCAGATAAATAAATAAAAAAAACTAAAAATGAAGTAACAAATCTGGGGGAATTTTTTAACATTGCTTTAAAAAAATATATAATTAATTTTTGCTACTATTTTATAAAGGCACTTAATTTGGTAAGATAAATTAAAATAATTTTAAAATCTCAGATTCTTTCTTTTTAAAAAAGAAACGTATATTCTACAATATGGAGAAATAGAATACCATTTTCTATGATGGAAATAAACACCATCTTCTACGTACCACTGAATAACCTGATTCGAAATCAACTGCACCTTTAAATTTTCCCTCCATAAGAAAAACAGTCTAGCAGTTCATACAATAATCCCTATATTTCTCTTCCTTTTTGTAAAGGAAACAAACCTCTTTCAAGATGAATCTAACTACCTAAAAGGGCCATTGTTGCAAACAGCAAGAGATTCATTGAAAGCATAAGGTATGGAAACTCCCATCTTTTTACAGATCTTACAGGAATCAAATGATCTCAAAAGGTTAATGAGTCTGAAACTCAAGTATTATTTATAAAATACTGGATGGCTGAATTTAAACATGAAAAATGGACATGAGAGAATATTTTTTTTACAGGAATTTTTTTAAGAAAAGAATAGTGTATAAAAGATCAAAAAGTGAAATTCTTTTCCTCCTCCTTTTAAGAGAAAAATAGTTATCTGCTCATATTATTATATTCATTGATTAAAAAAATTAGATTTGTCATAACTTTAAAACATAAAACTGGTGAGATAAAGTAGCACTACGTAAAAATAAACAAGTCTAACTTCAGTTTAAAAACTTATTAATGCTGAACTGTAAAAAGTCAACATACCAATTTCTCTGAAAAGTTCATGGATATTCACAGCAGTCAAAGCACTTGTTTCAACAAATGCAGCATTCACAGAATTTGCATATTCTTTGGCTTCTAGAATACAGAACAGAATAAAAATATTTTAAATTTAAAAGCATGTTTTAGGGTTTGAATAACAGTAAATAGAACAAATTTGGTGTTAAAGGTAAACAAAAAAAAAAAAAAAAGGCAAAATCCAAAAGTATGCTTTAATAAATAAAAATTTATGCCTAATATGTAAAGGGACAAAAACATTAAAATTAATATTGTGATGCAACTCAAAATGCGAAATTCATATTTGTATGTGAAATGATTGAGGGCCATAAGATGCCTTCTTACATGATATGACATATTTGTACAACTTAAAAAGAATATACAAATAATGCTAGGTCACAGTCAGACAGTATGAAACTGATTATTCTGTACTGATATGGATAATATATGATGTTAGAAACATCTTTTTTTAATTACAATAATGATGCAAATGTTTATATGAATTAAAAGTTGTGCATATGACAAAATCACATGAATTAGATGCATTATAAATTACACCAGTTACAGATAGTAATAAAAATTATATCAGAAGAATCTAATTAAGAAATACATATTTTTTTTAAAAACATGCTATTAGTAATGCAACACAATGTTTGGGTTTATTTTAATTATGGCAAAGCATTTGAAGACTAACTGTCAATGGGGAGGGATGTCTTTGCAAAGAATTTTTTAAGGTAAAAAGGCTCGTATACACGTTACAAGGTAAAACTGCAAAAACACCCGTGGAAATGCAATGTTTTAATTTGGAAGCTAAAGATCATATATCAATTCCAACACCACTGAAAAGGGGCAATTCACCAGGTTGTTTGCATGACAAATTAAAGACCTTATGCCTCAAGGAATAGAAACACTTGCTAGGACTAATATATGATAGCGTATCTGATAGTATAACTTGATTTATTGGTGATTAAAGTGAGAAAACCAAGCTACAAGCATTTATATTATAAAAATATTTTAAAATTGTATTATACTAATTATAAGATTATTATAATATACAACAGTCAGTTACTCTCACTGCATCTATTTAACTTGCTGAAATACTCAGTATTGCTGGGCTTTACACAAAATAAAGATGCTTCATTTCAGGGAAGGTAATTTTTTTTTTAAATCTCTGGTAGACAGTAATTTTCTTCTTATTTAGGTTTAAGGCAAACTGTGCAAATATTTACCAAGCTCTAATAAATCTGTAGAATAGCGTAGATCTAACACAACACCATGTAATGGCTCTAGTTAAAAAGCTGGTACTTGCTTTGTTATTGGTTATGTATTTTTTCAGAAAATTGGGATCCACTTTGGCTGATTTCTTCACTATTTTCGAATTATTCACAAAAACCTGATAGCAAGAGCAAGCACACTTTAATTCTGTTTTAAAGATTCTACACTAGAAGTTCCCATTTTTCTGGCCAACCACCCTTTTCAAAAGAAAACAAAATTTCAATGCCCCCTTCTATAGCAGTTAATTTTACCAAATATTAATTTTTTTTTGCATATTATCTATATTTATTTTATTTGGTTATCTGTCTGTTAAGAATCAAAATGTAGAAGTTAATTAGTACAAACATCAAATGCAGTAAAAAAAGTTTTAATAAACACAAAATAAAAATAAAAGTAAATTAATGAGATGGTTTAGGGGAGTGGAATTTTAACAATTCTACTTTACAATTAATCCTATTGATCACTCAAAATCTTTTACATTAATTTAACTTAAATTTACTAGCAATGAGTAAGAGGGAAGCTTTGTGGAAGGCTACTTACTATGATTGCTTGAAGTGGTCATAAAATAGTGCAGTCAAAAATGAGTTCTATCCTGTTTAAAAGGCAAAACAATCTCAGGGACTGATAGTAGGCATTCACAACCTCTTAAAATCAGGCAAAAGATTTTATCACACCTTTACTAACTTACTTTATACTTATCTCAAATAACATAATACAAGAATACCATTTGCTCACTTCTGAAATTTTTAATTCCAGTTTTTCTTCAAGCCATTATTATGAAAAGAAACTTAAAGATAATGCTGATAAAATAAATTAAGACTTGTGCAGAAAGAAGATGTATATGGTGTCTTGGGGTAAAAGTCACTAAATATTTGAAATACATTATAGAGCTGAAGTTAAACAAAAAAATTCTTATGCAAACAGGAAATGTGCCATTTATCAGTTAGGGAACATTGAAGATCAATATTAAGATAATGCAGACAAGCATTGAGTATCTTGCAATGAATATTAAGATCTGTTTATGAATTCCAGCAGCATATTGAAGGTACAGTCCAATGTATTGCCAACAGTCCACATTAGGTAAGCAGCTAATCTTCGTGTATATTTATCATTGATGTTTTATGCATTATAATCCATTTTCCAGTCTATGTTCACGGAACAGATTTTGTTTATTTTCAGCCACACTTATACACAGCCCACATTAGATACTTTTATTTTAAAACATGTTATATATTAAGTTACCCTACACATTTATTTGTCATTGATGGTCATTGGCATCTCGTAACTCATAAAATATGAAAGTATGCATTTCTCACTATATATTCACAGAAAAATTTTCTTATCTTCAACCACAGAATACATAACCACTAATGCATGTTTTTAAAGTTACATTTTCCTCCCCCAGCTGGTTGGCAACAGCTTGAAAGACTGCTGCATATGAAAACAGTTTAAGACATTAAAATTTAAAAAAAAAATCTATTTTATGATATTTTGTGTTTATTGATTTTTAAATTAATTTGATCGTCATTTTAGCAACTGTTTTTCAGACACTTTTAAAATGCATGCACATTATTATAGTTACCTTTGTATGTTACTTCTCGTCTGCCTTCTAGATCAGATTTATTCCCAGCTATAGCCATTATAACATTTGAAGAACCATGCAACTGCAGCTCCCTAATCCAGCCTTTTACTGATGTAAATGTATTCTGAAAAACAAATTTTAATTAATAAAATGAAAAAATCTGACATTTACGTATAGATATAAAAAATGATACACTTTCATCTACAGCATAAATATTTCAATAGCCAAAGTTTAATTTTACAGATAGACTAATTATCCAAATACTAATAAACCAGACTAAATTAACCAGAATGTAGCTAAAAACAAATTTTTTATGAGTACCCTCATTATAAGTAGTCAGTTTCAGTATGACACACAAAATTATTAGTAGTGAATTTGTTTTAACCAATTACTAAATAAAAAGTACAATATAATTTTAATCAATGTATTAAATAGAAATAAAGTAATTTTGAAATTTTAATCTTGTTATAGAAAGGGTGTTATCATCACAATATTAAATGTTAGAAGAAAGATGTTAAACTGCATGTTCCTAATAAACAAATATTGTTGTTGTCTCATATATGGAAAAGATGCTAAATGGAGCCAAAAGTCTGTAGGACAAGCCCTGCCAGATCTAGAGCACGAGGATTACAAAGGATATCTTGTGGTGGTGAGCCAAGTTGGTAAAGTGCAGCAATGATAAGCCTGGCAGTTGAAGATATGCTTTGGGAATAAACTATTTTTAGATAGAAATATATATACTGCATTGAGTTGATGCAATTACCTAAAATTAAAGAATGATGAGAATCTTTCTTAACTGATAGCTAGAAAAGATAATAACTATATTTACTCTTTATACCATATAGTGCTAATTAGAAAAATAACTACATTTCACATTTTCATTTCTTTATTTTCTAGTAGCTACTTATAATGATTCTACTTATAATAATGCTAATTGCGGCTTTGCATCTATGAATAGGAACTCAGGGCTCAGAGCACAATGAAAAACATGTAAAGTAAAAGAATTTTGGTACAGTAGGTGGTTGAACCTCCTTAAAAGATGTAGAATTTCAATCTCCACCAAGCATTAGCCTGCCTTTTGCCATGTTAGTCACACTTTGATCTTTCTCCAACTTCTCAATGATTCAATCTTGAGTACAATAATACAGATGTTTTTAACAAGATTGTTGGATAATACACTATTCAATAGCAATTGTGGTGATGGCGATAAGGAGCGCGCCTTGCGCCCTCCGATAAGTGTGGCAACCCTAGAGGAGAAGTTTCTTACGAGTAGCGAGCAGAGCGAGACAGGCAGGCTGTCGGGCAGTGTGCGCGAAGTTCCTAAATAAAGCTTAATTTTTATTGTGCACTATGTCTCGTTAATATTTATATCAATGCAGTAGGAACATAATCTGTGATATGGAATTCGAGGATCGGTGGTAAAAACATAACAGGAAATTTCCATAATGGTAACCTGGACTGTGTTAAATCGTATGAACAGTTCTCAAGCACTTTCGGTTTTGACTACAAGCCATCACTCAAGATCTCCAAACCAGAAGTAATGGATTACATTGGTTTTCATCCTCCGAATCACAGATGAGTAGTAATTATAGATCATTTTATAATTCTGTTTTCTACTTATCATTTAATTTCATTTCTTTAGTTAAATTTTTGCTTTTATTTTGGCTTAAAAACCTTGCACAATGTCTGATGTTCATGCCGTCCAAATTCCGGTTTATAACCGATCAGACCCTATCTTTATGGTTTATTATGTGTGAAAAGTACCTTTTGCTCTTGCCACCCCCAAACCTATCACAGAATCCATTACTAAATATAATTATGTAGTTTCTCATCTTCCTCCAGATATATCGCATCACTAGTGTACGGGATTTACTTATGAAACCAGACCCTATTGATCCATATGCAAAGCTTAAACTGAGCTAATAAATCGTTCAGGAGAATCTTCTCAGCAAGAAATTCGCCAATTATTATCTGGAGAAGAATTAGGTTCTCGAAAACCTTCCGATTTGCTTAGAAATATGAAACGTCGAGCAGAATCTTTAAATGTTCCTGATAACTTAATGTTAGAATTATTCCTTCAACGTTTGCCTTCGACTGTTCAGTCTATTTTTGGCAGCGGTTTCCAATTTAACTGTAGATAAAGCTGCAGAAATTGCCGACAGAATTTTAGAAGTAAATCCAACCCCAGGGACTTGTGCCGTTTCTCGCACAGTCGATCAGTCTCTTGAGGATAAATTATTTAAACAAATAGAAAAATTAAACAAACGTATTGATCGCATTTCTCTTTCTCGTGGTCGCTCACCAAATCGCGGAGATAGCAATAAGGAAAGAAGCAATTCCAAAAGGAGAGATTATTCTGTTTGCTGGTATCATAGACGTTTTGGGAAAAAGTGTAGAGATGACAAATGTACAAAACCTTGTTCATGGCAGGGAAACGAAACCAGCAAAGAATAGAGGCGACTTATTCTTTGCCTCAAGTTTCACGTCGCCTGTTCGTTCGTGACCGTAGAACAAACCTTTCATTCTTGGTCGATACCGGCTCTGACGTGTCCTTACTTCCAGCAAATAATTCTCAAAAAAACGGAATTTGTCCCAACAAACACTTTCGCTGCTAATTCTTCTACTATTCATGTTTATGGTCAAAAAACACTTTCTTTGGATTTCAAATTAAGACGACAGTTTACATGGACTTTTCTTATAGCAAATGTTAGTACACCCATTCTTGGAGCAGATTTTCTCCATTTCTTTGAATTGGTGCCTGATCTCAGAAACAAATGTCTCAAAGATTTAAAAACGCATTTTAAAACCGTCAGTTGCGTGAAAAATGCAAGCATTTATTCAGTAAAAACTGTATTTAGTGATACACCATATCACAAAATTTTAAAAGAATTTCCTTCAGTTACTAGATTACCAGATCCTAACCAACCTGTTAAACACAACACCGTTCATTATATCATAACTAAAGGTCCACCTGTGGTTGCAAAACCTCGTCGGTTAGCTCCAGATCGCTTAAAAATAGCAAAAACAAGAATTTCAAACTATGATGCAATTGGGGCATTTGAGACCTTCGAGCAGCAATTATGCATCCCCACTTCACATGGTTCCAAAAAAGGGAAGTCTGGAATGGAGACCTGTAGGAGATTATCGAGCATTGAACGCTTCAAACAATAAAAGACAAATACCCTATTCCATGTTTAGCCGATTTTACTGCTGCATTGCACGGTACTAAAATTTTTAGTCATGTCGACCTGATTAAGGCATACCATCAAATACCAATTAACCCAGCCGACATCCACAAAACCGCCATAATGCACACCATTCGGTTTATTCGAAAGTATCCGTATGCCAATTCGGCTTATGCAATGCATCTGCGACTTTTCAACGTTTTATAGATGAAGTCACACGGGATTTAGAAGGCATTTACGTTTTTGTCGATGACTTGCTCATAGCCTCTAAAGATTCTGAGGAACATTGCAGGCATTTGAAAGCTTTATTTTCCAAACTTCAGGAATATGGACTTTGCATAAATGTTTCAAAATGCACCTTTGGTCAAACATCTATTGATTTCTTAGGTTTTCACCTTAGTGAAAACGGAATTGAACCTCTTCCTGACAAAGTCAAATGTATTTTAGATTTTCCTCAACCTACCACTCTCACTCAGCTTCACCGATTTTTAGGCATGTTTAACTTTTACAGATGTTTCATACCTAAAGCAGCACATATTCTTTCTCCTTTAATAAAATTGTTAGAAGGCTATATTAATAAAAGAAATCTCGTTCTCGTGTTCAGGATTCATCCCCACAATTAAATTGGAACGAGAATGCTGAACAAGCCTTTATTGCTGCCAAAAATGCCATTGCTCAGGCTACCCTTTTGAGACACCCTATTCCCGGAGCCCCAGCTAAGCATCTGGGTAGATGCCTCAGACGTCGCAATCGGCGGCACACTTATGCAGTTGTCTCAACAAACATGGGAACCTATAGCATTTTTCTCTATGAAACTCAGTAAAAGTCAACAGAAATGGTCCGCGTACGATAGGGAATTATTTTCTATTTATTCTGCAATTAAGAAATTCCGACACATGTTAGAGGGCAGAAATTTTATAATTTATACGGATCAAAAACCGTTAACATACCGTTAATATACGCTTTTAAACAGAACCCTCATAAATGTTCACCTCGACAATTGCGACATTTAGATTTTATTTCTCAGTACTCTACTGATATTAGGCATGTGCAAGGTTCAAAAAACGTCGTTGCTGACGCTCTTTCAAGAATCGAAATTGATTCCATAACAAAATCTCCATTTTTGGATTTTAAAAAAAATTTTCCGGAAGCTCAACGGCATGATCCGGAGGTACAAAACCTTCTCAAAAACAACACACGTCATCTTTGAAACTGGAATTTAAACCGTGCCAATATTCTGATGGTAATATTCTTTGTGACATATCAACGGACATTCCTCGTCCATTTGTTCCGAATTCCTTTCGCAGACTCATCTTTAATCATCTGCATAATCTGTCACATCCAGGAATTGCAGCTACTACGAAGCTTATTTGTTCTCGTTATGTATGGCCCGATATGAAACGTCATATCAAAAATTTGGGTGAAATCCTGTGAATCTTGCCAAAAAATCGAAAAATTACTAGGCATACTAAAGCACCACTGGGCACATTCTCTCTTCCTGATGCACGTTTTTCAGAAATCCATATGGATATCGTTGGACCGTTACCTCCATCAGAAGGCAACGTGTACCTTTTGACTCTAATAGATAGATTCTCCAGATGGCCTGAAGCCATTCCCATCCCGGATATGAAAACGGAAACCATTTGCAGAGCCATCTTCAACTGTTGGATATCTCGTTTTGGCTGCCTCATCGATCATAAACAACAGACCAAGGTTCTCAAATGAGATCCGCAACTTTTTTTGCAGAATTTCACGCGCATTTTGGGTACGAACAGAATCACAACAACAGCCTATCATCCAATGTCCAAACGGCATTGTTGAACGATTTCATCGACATTTAAAATCTTCTCTCAAGGCTCACGAGACCAATAACTGGGACTGAAACACTACCAGTTGTTATGCTTGGTATTCGGACAGCCGTAAAGGAAGATCTACAGTCATCTTGTGCTGAACTGGTGTACGGCACAACTCTCAAGCTGCCTAGTGATATGATAACGTCATCTAAGATATCTCCGTATGACACACAATTTATCACGAATCTTAGGCATAGAATGCAACAAGTTGAATCCAATAGCAACATCTGCACATTGCCAAGAAAAATGTTACGTAAGTGCTACCTTAAAGTCGTGTACGCATGTATACTTACGTGTCGATCGAGTAAAGCCACCTCTGTGCCAACCATATACAGGTCCGCATAAAGTTCTTTCTAGAACGGACAAAACTTTCACAATTGATATTAACGGTCTGAAATCTACTGTGTCTATAGACCGTGTGAAACCAGCCTATTTGCTTTCGGACTCTAATTTGCCTGAACTGAAAACAAATAAAGACTTAAAGACAGTTCAGCAGAATAAATCTGCAAACGAACTCTCTAAGACACAAACTGTCACCAGATCGGGAAGACATGTTCACTTCCCTAAGAAACTTGCTTCTTTACATAACAATTTTAAACATTTTTTTTTTTAAATTAATATCTTAACATATATTTCTTGTTATTTCATGTTTATTATATGTGTCAATACCTTGTTTATATATTGAATTTTCATTTTGATCATTTCTAATTTTATATTCCAATTTTGTAATCATAAAAAAAATACCCGACAGTACGGATACTCTGAGATAATTTCATAACCTATGTCGTTCCTTTGAATAGCCATTAAAGGAACTGGGGGGAAACTCTGTGGTGATGGCGATAAGGAGCGCGCCTTGCACCCTCCGATAAGTGTGGCAACCCTAGAGGAGAAGTTTCTTATGAGTAGCGAGCAGAGCGAGACAGGCAGGCTGTCGGGCAGTGTGCGCGAAGTTCCTAAATAAAGCTTAATTTTTATTGTGCACTATGTCTCGTTAATATTTATATCAATGCAGTAGGAACATAATCTGTGATATGGAATTCGAGGATCGGTGGTAAAAACATAACAGGAAATTTCCATACAATAAGGCATAATTCATGAAATGTACTATGCAATATCTTCCACTGAAATGCTAACTATACCCTCTCTGCTTTTATAGTCTACCCATATGCAGCATACACTAGGCATGCATGAGCATGTTCTATCACACTGAATCCTCGATGCTCTCTTGATTGGATTTTTGGCCATTCTGTTTACACACTACTGTGCATATCTTTTTTGAAGAATCAGATTATACATCCAATTCCTCTTGAAAATCATAAAATTTGAATGGTGAATTGATTTATAAAGTAAAAATAATGTTTCAGAATAAATTATTCACGAATTACAGTATGTTTAAGATTTATTAACTTATTATTATCAAGAACAAAATAACGAATAAATTTTGCATGTTCAGTATTTTGTTCTTTGAATATTCTTTAACCCATACATTTTTATCAGCTTGAATATCCAACATTTAATTTTGCATACATTCCTTTTTAGCTGCAACAGCTTGAATTTTGAGAAACTTATATATACTTATATATACACTTAAAACAAAACTACCTAAAAACTATGTAAACAAACTAAAAAACTATATAAACTTAAAATACTTCAAACTAAACAATTATATAAATTAAAAACATTTCAAACTACATAATTCAAACTGTATAAAGACCTGAATTTGTTGTATTACAGTACATAGTTTTCACTAAATTAATTTTTTAAAACTTTAAATAACTTTTAATAATTTTAAGTATTTTTTTACAACAAAGTTACGTGGAACACTTCAGTGTTTTTATAATATATAAAACAGAGAAAAAAGAAACACTATAATAATTTAGGTAATGAAAAGAGAATTTAAAGCTGATTACCTTTCAAATATTGTTATTCCTTAGTATGCATGGAAGGAAAAATACATTACACCATGATTTCATAAATATTATGAGCTATTATAAATAGTTAGGTTATTAACGTGATTAATCTAAAGTTCAATGTTTCCTTACATACATACTGTTCTCATGAAATATACAATATAAAAAACAATTTGAATACATATTTTTAATTTTTCAAGTATACACATTATGCAGTCGAAGTTTTACCAAGCAATAGAGCTAGAGAAGATACAACATATAATCTAAAAAAATGAAAAACATGCAGAATAATGTTATAAAGCAGTTAAAAATAATAAAAGTTATTCTTAAATAACTAAGGCATTTTTGACTATATGAAAGCATTTTAATTGCTGGGGGGAGAAAAAAAAAGTTTCTGATATCAAAATTATGATTATCTTTTTACAGTTTTGACAATTTTGAAACATTTTACTTGAACTAAATGTATTTGAAATGAAATAAAAAAAATTAAAGATTTTGAAATATGTGATAAGTGTAAACAAAATTTAAATTGTATGTTTCTTGCATTTTTTATTTTGTCATTTCATTACTATTTATATAATTCTTAATGCACCACGGTTTTGATTATGGCTTTTGTCATGTTTTAGATTGGCAAAAATTAGTCACCAAAGAAATATTACTTTATGCAGAGGAAAATGCAGGCGATCAGAAAGTACAAAATTTCTAAACATACATTTAAAATTTGAATTTGTCATTTAAAACCAACTGAAAATATTACACAGAAATATACATTTTAGATTGATAATTATTTTGGAAAGATAATTATGAATAGAAAACAATATTTGTGGCAGAAAGATTTCATAAAATGATAAATGAATTCTTACATGACTTGTAACATCATAAACAATCACTGCTGCTCCAGCATTTCTGTAATACATTGGAGCTAGGGATCTATACTAAAAGAAAACTAAATTTAGAAAAAAAAAAAGAAAAGAAATTCTGTTTTAGCATATGACGTTGACTAAGTAAAATTATGAAACATTTAAAATTATAATAAAGAAAGAAAGATTTTTTTCGCACCTAAAAACACAGATGATAATTAAATGAAAAGGCATTTAAAAACATAGTGTTTCTTAAAAAACATGCTAAAAAATTTAAGGCTAATCTTTGGAATATGATAACAGGTTGTTTGGCGACATTTTGGTAAGGCGATAAAGGTTACTAGCTAGGACTTTAGCAGTGTACGTAGATAAAGTCAAGAGTGTGCGCAATGCCATTTTTGTGCAATTCTGGGATGTTTTTTTTTAAGTGAAAATAGGTCGACGTGTACATGGATACCGTGTATGTGCAATTCTTAAAAACGCGGCAAGCAGTTTGCGATTCTGCACTTTCTCTCAATTTCGCACCTAATCTTCGTCATGATTAAGCACTTTTGTTCCATAAAAGTTCTAGCATAAGCGTAATTCGGCTAGCAGATTGTTGAAAAAAAATGTGAAGTAAAAAAAAACCAAACAAAAAAAAAAAAAAAAAAAAAAAAAACATGCCTTTACTTTGTGAAAACAAAATGACGTCCAAACAAAAATGCACAGGTTGCTGTAGCAGGGTTGGTCACCAAATTTTCGCCAAATCGCCAAGTTACCATAATCCAAAGATTAACCAAATTTAAAAATAAGCACTGTATCTTTCAGTTTACTTTATTTTAGCCAATGACAGCATTTGGCAGTTCTACCATTTGGTGATGGGCTTCCCAGCATTGGCTGGATGCGACTATGCTGAGAGGTCAGTGTATTTGAAAGCCTGAAAATCAGCTCTCCCATTTCTTTACCCCACATTTTTTTTTTTTTTGCTTTTAACCGAGGCATCAGAGATGTGTTTGGTCGATGTTAGGGAGGTTAGTATGTCCAGTTAAGGCAGGGTTGCTCTTCTTAACTAACTCAATAGTCAATTCATTCTTATGGATACCAACATGATTTGGAATCTATAGGTGGATGATTCAACCATCAGTGATAAGTCTGGCTAGAATTTCACATCTGTTGTGTGTCTTAATGCAGTGGGTGCATGTGTCACTTGCAAAAGCAGTAATGGCTGTTTGCAAATCAGTAAGGAACACTACATGCCAAACACTAATTTGGTCGTGCTATTTTCTTATTTTACTATGAACTTGTACACAAAGCACTGTTGTAAAGTTTAAGTGAGCAAGCGCCTGTGACTCAGGAATGAATTAATTAAATTTACATTAATTCCTTTGAGGAAATTATTTTGGTTTACGAACATTTCGGTAGACTAATGGTCTTCAAGAATGAATTAACTTCATGAACTGAGGTTTCACTGTATATCAAATAAAAATTTCCGTTTGAGTTTTTTTTTATCATTTATATGAAGTTTAAAAAATTCAAACATAAAAGAAGTTACTTTCCTCTTCCCACAATTATTGGAAAAAGACTTAGAGTAACTGAATGAGTGAATAAAGTTTACAAGTTTACATGATAATCACAGAAGTTTTATAATTAAAAAAGTTATTAAAGTAGCAATTGCAATTAGTTTTCTACAACTCCGATAGATGCCCTAATTTCACCAAATGTGGCGATATGTGTTCTGCGATGGTTTTTGGCGCAATTGCATGTTGTGCGGCAACCCTGCTGATGTTGAAAAATCTTACGCTGGAGTTCGTTGGTTTGGGTCTTGCTCTGTGTCTGAGAAGATAGGGGAAAAGATAAAATGGTGGAAGTTGTTGAATTGAAGTTCGGCAAAAGGAAATATCATCGTGGCCATCCTGTTGAGAGGCAGTGGGTATTTGGAAGTGTGGATAGAGTGTCTGGGAAATTATTTTTAGTGGCTGAGCATGATAAAAGTAGGGATTTGTGATTATTTGTGAACCATAGTATGAATTTTCTGGATAGTGTGTCTGGCTGTCATATAAATACGATAGTGATTATGTGGCAGCATGTTAAAGGCAGTATGAAATTGGTATTTCTGCTGTTTGAAAAAGCATTAATTCATGGTAAGTGCATTTTATTTTATTCTTGTTCTGATTTTGTAGAATATTATGTTCATTGTTTTTTTAGTATGAATTTCTGTTGTTGTTATTGTTTTTTTGAATTGTTTGAAATTTTAGTTTATTTTGTTGATTAGTGCGTACTGTCTAGATTGTGCAATTTGCAGATGTTTCTTAAAGTTGAAACAGGATGCTGTGTACGTGGTGTTCTTTGAAATTTATTGTTGTTATGTTAATTTATTAAAGCGAGGTGTGCGTAGTTCATAGATTCGTTAGTTTGTGCCATTCATAGATTTTTTATATGTTAAAACATATCGCTGTGTACATAGATTCTTGTCAAATATTTTTGGTTAAAAACTTTATGTTTTTGCTATCTAAATTTTTTGTTTTGTTTCGGATTTTTAACTTAAATTTTGTGTTTAAAACGTGGTTTTTTCATGTACGAAAACTGCATTTTTAGAGACATTTTAGGCTTAAAGTTCGAAATGTAGACAAAAAAATTTAGATAGTAATATGGCAGCATGGAGTTTCTCACCAAAAATTTTTGCCGAGACTTGAGGGCGCATATTAGAGTAGTTCCTTAGTTTTATTAGATATTTGACAAATTTAACTGCCAAATTCATAACATGCACCTTCTAGATATTACAAAAGTTGAAGCAATAGCTGCTTAAATAAGAAAGTATCATTAAGGTTTATTAAAATAAAAATAAATTAATAAGTAAAAGTTCTGTGCATAAATTTAGATATGATATCTATTTTTATCAAATTATGTGCATAACACAATAAACACACATTAATTATCATTATTAAAACAACCATCACTGTTACATTAAAACGAAAATGGTTATTACTTTTGGGAAAAAGGAGTTATTCTTACCCGTTCTTGACCAGCTGTATCCCATATGTTGAATTTATATGTGCAGTCATCAACAAGCATACATTTTGTCATGAAAGATGCTCTAAAAAATTAATCAGCTATGTATTTTATAGACCATACAAAAGGACAAATTTCTATTTTAAGAAATAAAAATGACGAAAGGAAAAGCAATTCTAAGGAAGTTTATGAAACTATGAAGTTTATAAGTTTATACTATTAAAACAATAGACAATAGTTCACACATACCCAATTGTACTTTCGACGGATGGGTTAAAAGTATTATGTACAAAACGTTGAACAATACTCGATTTTCCCACACCGGAATCCTAAATAAATAAATAAATCACCAACTTTAAATTACGGTCTAAAAACTTTGAAATTTTTGCTGTCGTAAAATTTAATTTATAAAAACACGTTTTTGAAGAACTAACCCCCAAAACGCATAGCTTTACTTCTTGATGCATTTCGGAAATTATGTGTACAAATACAGACGTGAAAGAATGATTACAAATAAAAAAAAGCTTTATAAAGCAGTCCAAAATATAATTATACTTAAAAAATTGGGAAAATACAACAAAAATAAAAATTTTTACAACTGCTTAATGTTTCTAATCCAATCCATGCCCTAGTTTCCTGGTCTGTTGTTTGTAACAGAGAGGAGTTAATCAACCGATCATAATTCCCACAGCTGTAAACAAATGAACGCCTCTTCAAGAGGTTGTTGCCAATTTCGCATATCTTTCTTTATTTCTTACAGATGAAAAAGTCACACGCATGTATTTCCTTTTAATATTTCTTCATTAAAAATATGAACTGCGTAAGATATTTATTATCGTATTATTTATATCTTTATAATATATGTTTCTTTAAAAAGAAAGTCCGATTTTCATAATATGCCGTTCACTTATTTCAGTTCACTCATTTGTCAATCATTCCTTATTTTGTAGCTAGATACCTCTCGACTCATACTGATATGTTCCTATGACAGCTGTGTAAACATGTTTGGGTTTGAATTGTTTATGTATGTTTCCCAGCTATATCATATCGATCAGATTCTTGCTTAATAAGCAGAAAAGTAGCGCACATATGATAATATTTGTAAGAAATTTTCCTTTGTACGAAAATAAATATCAAGCGAGTTTATATTGAAATATGACAACAAATAAAATGTGCTTATACAAGTGATTTATTACATGAAAAATGTATATTATCACAAATTTATATTTTGTTTCTCACTTTATGTTATAATTCATTTCATATCTTCCTTTATAATAACTGATTATGTATTTAAACTTTGTATACTTAGTATATATGCCAAGAGTTTCGAGAATTTAAAATTATTTCAGGATGGAAAGTTTTAAGCTATCTGATATTTTACATTCTAGTAAACTATTGCCATAGAATGGGTAGGAACAAAGATACGCAAAATGCTTTGCCTGTTGATCAGTACAGAAAACAAATTGGTAAGTTATTAAAATTTTTACTGATCATATATTGCTGTATATAAAAATATTTTTATAATGCATAAAAATATTTGGTTACAATACATAAAGACATTACAATGTATAAAAATATTAAATAATAAAATGCAATGCATAAAATCCTCATTACGATGCATAAAAAATATTTGGTTCTTTTTAAAGGCCAACTGCTTTTTAACTTGAAAGTATTTACCCAAGATTAAAATTGGAAGAAATTTATGCAAAAATTTTTTGAGGATGGCATTCTGAGCATTCTATGTTCTTTGCTGTGGGTACCACAATCAACTTATGATTTATTGCTGTGATACCAGGGATGACATCCATGGTCAGTCTAAGATCCAGGAAAAAGAAATGGTGCTCTTCTGTTACCAGGATCGGCTTCAGAAATGTATGGATGAATGTGTTCATGTGTGCATGCATATGTGTTCATATGTATCTGTGTGTATGAACCCATATATAAATATATATGCACATACATAGGCACATGCATGTATACATATATTTCTGAATTTGGTCCCGATAACAGAATAGTACCAAAGAAATAACCTATGTTATAAATAGAATAATACTATTAAGACATATAATTTCAAGAGTTTAATTAACAGAATAGGTTAAATTGTATTATAAACAAATAATAAGTTACTCTATTATACTCTAAATACTAAGTTAATCAGTATTATAAACAAATATAATTTGTGTGTAATAGTAGAACAGAAAAATAAACATCATTAGAAATGATGAAGCTAAGTTATAAATGGAATTAAAGAACCATATTTATAAGAGAAATCGACCAATATTATTGAGTTTAAAGTTTCATAAAAAAGTTTGCTAGAACTTTTAGTACAGGGATGTATAGACCCTTTTAAAAGAATAGTTTCATTCATTTGTCCCCTTACTTTTTTTTAATAATATACAGCATAAAATATAAGCATAACACAAATAATTGCACATAAGGCAACAATTAGACTGAGAATATGAATGAAAATTTTGAAATTATTGTTTTATTAAATTTGTATTTTATTATTTTTTACATTTTGTTTTTAATTATATGTTCATGTGTTTGTATAATTTGTGGTTTATTATTTTTCACATTATTATTATTATATTTAATTTTACAAATATAAACATTTTCTCAGAAATAATATCACAAATTCTACTTGCACAAAAGTTGGATTTTAATTAATATAGTGGTTGTGCTTGTAATTTTTTTATCATTTGACAGAAATTGCTTAATTTAATTCTTAAATCATCTTGTCCAAAAATATTCAACCTGTTTCATGTTTTCTGTAGTAAACTATTAAAAGTCTGCTTCCACTAGTTAAGAAGAGCGAAAATTCAATATAGTTGGTCAGGTAACTAACTAATTTTATAATGGGATATTTTTCTCGGATGATTTTTAAATTACAAAGCTTAACATACCTATGTGTTTTTGTAATCAGTGTGATCTTAATTATGCTTATCACTGGCCAGTGCATACTCAGCTTTTCAACTGCAATTGACCCTTTGTATCAATGACTTCCTCTAAAGTTTTATTGATTCCTGGGGGGAGGGGACAATACCAACCACATTGGAAATCCTTGTTTAGTACTTTCTAATTACTGCACCTCACCTTGGTTTTCAAATCTTAGTTGAATTCCTATGTTTTTAGCATATTTTTGAGAATTCACTTGACAATATTCAACACATGCATATTTGAGTGCATGTGTTTAACAAACATTATATTTAATTAGCTAAAAAAATACATTTATTTATTATAAAAATGTTAATATCTACCATACACATTTGTGTTTTTCCTCATTTTTTAAATTACTTTTTTATTATTTATGAATATAAAAAGCATTATTTATGAACTTATGAGCCATTAAGATAGCCAAACAAACATATATCACCTATTCACAAAGACATGAGTTGGTGACTTTTCAGAGGGCGGGGGCAGATAATCAAACATTTTATGTTCTTGTTTATATACAATTAAATTACATACTGTTATGAATAAAAACAGCTCCTGGTATTACCTGACTATTTGATTGCCTCTAAAAAGTTGCAAACTATTTACTGACTTTGGAAACAAATGTTTGTTTGGGTATCTTTACGTCTGTTGCGTTTTTTTCTTTTTCTTCTGACATCAGTTGCTACGTTATTTTCTTCCTTTACGTATGTACGGGGTTCGTAGATTTGGAGTGAATAACGACGACATTTGTTGAAGTATCGAAATACACTTTATTTACCAGTTTTTGTCAGGACAGCTCCAAAACACGTTTTACAGTCGTCGATGAACTACTATAAACACGCTGACACTATCAGCGACACAGCCTTCAGGTTATCAAGCTATCACGGTGGAGAGAGCTTTACCGCAAAGCATCAGAGTACAGCTTGGTCGTTCTCGGAACTCCACGTACTCTCGAGACTCTCCACGCTGCAACTTGCGATGCACTCGACGATACACAAGAGTATAGCTCTCGACTCAGCACAGTCTAAGACAAAATTCGACGATGTACTATCTCACGATACACTAAAAGACTCTCTTGATGCACTCGACGACCAACTCGGCACTAGACTTCAAGACACTCGCTCAATGACTGACTATCAGCTCGTTAGACTAGGCACACACACTCTATGAGAGACATACCCTAACTGACTGCACCAGCAGGGTTTATATAGCTTTTAGCTTGTGTACGAGAACATTCTGGGCTAAACCGGTAAGAATTCGTTCCAGAAGGTTCTCCATCCGTTCATGGCATATCGCCAAATGTCACCAAAAGGACGATTTCTCTCACAAATGTGGCAACCCTGCCTTCCCTTGCCATTTTATAGCAACCCTGAAACTGCTTTGCGGGGAGCCATCTCACCGCGCCTGTACATTTCGCTTACTTGTCTATTTCAATGATGTACTTAGTGCCATTTTTTTTTTTTTAACCTTTCCTTTTTCAACACATGATATGCACTGCAATGTGTATTTTTCTCAAGGAATGTGGAGACAGGAAGAGAACTTTTGGGGGGGTATACCTGACTTGGCTTCACCTGTAGAGAAGGGACAGAGAACCCTATTCTTGCCTCTGCTGGAAGGGGGCAAAATTTTCTCCAGTCGTAGGTGGGAGTAAAAAGAGGAGACTGAAATGGAAAGAAAAAGAAATGGATGCACGGTTTTGCTCCCTCCATTGTAGAGAAAATGTATTTTAAAGTTTTTTTAGATGTAATCTGTACATAAATATAAAAGTAAGTTCATTTAGCCTACAACATCTCTTGATTATTTGACTATGTTACAGCATACTTCTCACTTTTTTCACTGTTGTTCTTTCCATGTGCACAGCAATCTTTTCTTCACTTAAAAATATTAGAGAATTACAAAAATTTGCCATTGCACACAACTTCAACATCAAAATCCTAAAAGGAGATGTAAAAAAGAGACATGATGCCTTTAAGCAAACCACATTACACTCTATGTATGCAGGAAACTTAGTCTGAGATTTTGCTGAAGACAGTAAAAGCTGCTGCATGGAGTCCACATCTGTGGTACAGTGTGGAAATTTCCATAAAAGGGATCTAATTTGCAGTTACACTGGTGAACTGTTTGGAAAAGTGGAGAATTGTTGGGGGATATACTACATATATATTTACGTACCCACGCTTGGTGCAATTTCATTATCAGGACCATAAAAAACTGCCAAGCTATTCTTGATGCCAATGTTTATTATAGTAACTGTCATGCAAAGAAGGAAGCATAATGGTAATATTTATCAGGATATTATTTTAATTCAGATGAAAGGTTAATTTCATGTATTGCACTTTTTTATTACAATCCATAAGAATGACTAAACATAATTGAAATTAAAATGGAGGCATGTAATTTTTTTTCTTTCAACACTGCAAAGGAAATATAAGTTTTTTATTGTAAATGTCTGCACATAAATTTGGACAAATAAGAATCAGGATGCTGTCAAGCAGTGCTCAGATTATGGGCACTGCTTGACAATGGTTTATTACACCATTTAGCTCTGCCTAATAGCTTTTGTATTATTCATGTATGATACCCACTTTCAGGATCCATAAAATGACATTTGCGGTTAATGGTAAAATCTTCAAAGCTGGCATTTTGCAATTTATCCAACTTATATGCTTTCCAAGAACTACTGTATCAATATAATTTATTTCAAATTCTTACATATATCACAAAACCTTTT